TCTAAATTTTTTTACAGTGTCCCCCCGTTTCGTAGTTACACTCAAGTGTTGTGCCTTCCTACCACACTCAAAAAAAAACATGTTCTCATTCATTTACAAATGTATCTCCGTTAATTTTTTTCAAGAAGCAGCGTGTGAGTGTGAAGAACGGAGGGAGAGAGAGAGAGAGAGAGAAAAAGCAATCTCCAGACATGCCGCCCGGCAGACAGGCAGAGAGACATAAAGAGATACAGACAGAGAGAGAGAGAGAGAGAGAGAGAGAGAGAGAGAGAGAGAGAGAGAGAGAGAGAGAGAGAGAGTACACACAACCCAGAATCTCAACGCATGCACGCACGCACACACACACACACACACACATACATACATACACACACGCACACAAAATATCCCCCCCCTCACACACAGCTGACCTTGCCCTGTCGAATGAGATCATGGATTGTCATGAGCGTTTCCTCAATTGGCGTGCCATCATCCCAGCTGCATGTGCATGTGTGGATTGTGTTCGTGTGTCTGTGAGTGCGTGCAAAAGCGTATTTGTATGCGTGCACCTACACGCGGGTACACGACGTACAGGGGTTGCAACCCACCAGTGCATCTGATACAAGTCGACGTAGTCTGTCTGCAGTCGCTTCAGGCTGGCGGCGATGCTGTTGACCACGGTGCAGGTTCAAACAGGGCGCAGGGCGCAGGGCGCAGGGCGCAGGGCGCAGGGCGCAGGGCGCAGGGCGCAGGGCGCAGGGCAGGGATTGCAGCATTTACTCTGATTTGCACATGGTTATGACCTGATCCCTTCAAAGAAGCAAGCGCACACAGCACTCCACCATTTGGCTCTTCCACGCTGACACACACACACACACACATGTGCAAACCTGCGAAGGATGTGCTTGCGGCTGAGGCCGACGCCGTTGATGTCCTTGTCGCCGCTCCCAAAGCGAACCTTTGTGGCAATCACTAGGTGTGCAACAAGGCAGCGTGTGAGCGATGGGGTGAGCAAAGCGAGCGAGCACGCTAGCGACTGAGCAAGCAAGCAAGCAAACAAGCGTACAGTAGTGCGCATGCGATCACCATCCCCTTTGCTTACCAAGGGATTCTCTGTTGTCTCGCTCCTTCATCCACTCGCCCAGGATGGTCTCTGTCCTGAAGGCACAACGGATAGGAAGGGTGAGTGTGGGATGAGCAGATGACATCGCTCGATGAGCGCACACGCACGCATGCACGTGCGCACGCGCTCTAGACTCTCACACACACACATACGCACACACGTATGCACACGCACACACACTCACACACACACACATACGCACACACGCGCGTGCGCAAGACTCACTCTCCGCCAGAGTACACGTCTGCTGTGTCGATGAAGTTTCCGCCCAATTCAACAAACTTGTCCAGGATGTCAAAGGACTCCTGCTTCGTGCACTGCTGCAAGCCTACAAGCGGCCAGAGAGGCAGTTAAGGAGGAGGAGGAGGGGGGGGGGAGGAGAAGAGGATGATCGGCCAGGGATTCAAGCAAGTAGGCGACAGTCAATCGCACTGTCAGTGAGTGAGGTGATTCAAGCAATACGACAGTGAGTTCGCGTTGGCTCATTCAAGCAACCACACTGCGTCACACACACACACACACACACACACACACACACACACACACACACACACACACACACCCTTGAGGGATTTGCCAAACGTCATTGTGCCCAGGCAGATGCGTGACACACGCAGCCCGCTGCTGCCCAAGAACGTTGTTTCCATCGTTGGCGTGCGAGGTAGTGGGTGTTGAGATGGTGATGGCAAGAAACAGGCAGTGCAAGAAGAGTGCTTGACGCAAGTCATGTGGTTGTCCTCCGCTTTGCTAATTGCACACACCTTGGTGGGTCGCAATTTGCAACGCATACACGTGTACACCAGGTGTTGGTATCCACCGAAAATTTCTTCTGGGCGCTTCTCTCGTTGCGTTCGTGATTGCGGGGCGGTCGCAAACACCACAAAAAGGTGTTCTTGCACTCGCTTCTCGCACAAAGCACATGTGCGTGGCTTGAAAGACGAAGCAACCTCCTCCTTCTACCTTTTTTTCCACCTTTCTTTCATCTTGCTTGCTTCTTGCCCGCTTGGCCACGCGCTCACATATCCATCATCACTGGTGCGTGCTTGCGTGTCTGCCTTCTTGCCCTGCCTCTCTGTATGCATGTGTGAGTGTGTGTGAGTGTGTGGCGCGTGCGTGTTGGGTGGGGTTGTTGCACTCACTTTCCCTGCCTCGTCATTGTTGTAGTCAAAGGTCTGCGCGGCTCCTTGCTGTGTGCCGTGTGTGTGTGTGTGTGCCATCCAGCCAGCAAGTCGCTGTTGTCGCTCACCGTCATCATCATCATCAATGCCATCACCATCGTCGTCAACGTGTGTTTGCCTGTTATCCGTGCACAGTGTCTTTAGAGAGCACAAGTTAGAGCACACAAGCAGCCATGTTCCCTGCCGTGCGACGAACACTCGCTGCGGCCCGCCTCGTGCAGGCACCCGCAGCACAGACCACCAATGCCGCTGCAACCGCCGTGCGTGCCATGAGGTATGCACGAAATGCTTGTTGTGTGCATGTGAGAACTTTTTGCGAGTGTGTGCTGGTGTACTGGCGTGCCTTTGCTGCCTTTCCTTGCTTTGCTTTGCCGTGCCGCACACACGAATGCACACACACACACACACACACCCACACCCACACACACACACCCACACCCACACACACACCCACACACACACACCACCCCTCACCTCCGCCCCTCCCCCCCCCCCTCGCCGCGACTCCTCCCGCCGTGTAGCTTCTGGACTCTTCTTCGAGCTGAGCCGGCTTAAGGATTGTTTTTAGGAATACAGTGTTGCGACTTGGTTGATGAATCGATTCCCGTTGACCACACACACACACACACACACACCACCACCACCACACACACCACCACCACCACACACACCACCACACACACACACCCCTCACCTCGCTCCCCCCCCCCCCTGCCGCGACTCTCCCGCCGTGTAGCTCCAAGGTTCAGGGCTACGTCATTGGTATTGACCTTGGTACCACCAACTCGTGCGTTGCGGTTATGGAGGGTAAGACCCCACGCGTGATTGAGAACGCCGAGGGTGCCCGCACCACGCCCAGCGTCGTTGCCTTCACCGAGGACGGCGAGCGCCTTGTCGGCCAGCCCGCCAAGCGCCAGGCCGTGACCAACCCCAAGAACACGCTCAGTGCCACCAAGCGCCTCATTGGCCGCCGCTTCGACGACCCCGAGACGCAGCGCGACCTGGAGACGGCCAGCTTTGAGATTGTCAAGGCCAAGAACGGCGACGCGTGGGTGCGCGCCGCCGGCAAGGACTACTCCCCCAGCCAGATTGGTGCCTTTGTTCTCATGAAGATGAAGGAGACCGCCGAGGCATACCTCGGCACCGCCGTCAAGAACGCCGTCGTCACCGTCCCCGCCTACTTCAACGACTCCCAGCGCCAGGCCACCCGCGACGCTGGCGAGATTGCCGGCCTCAACGTTCTCCGTGTCATCAACGAGCCCACCGCCGCCGCCCTTGCTTACGGCCTCGACAAGGCCGAGGACAAGGTCGTTGCCGTGTACGATCTTGGTGGCGGTACCTTCGATGTGTCCATCCTTGAGATCCAGAAGGGCGTCTTTGAGGTGCTTGCTACCAACGGCGACACCTTCCTTGGCGGCGAGGACTTTGACAACCACGTAAGTTGCAGGCGTCAACATGTACCTGCTGTCTTTGGGTGTGTGAATGGGTGCGTGTGAATGGGTGTGTGTGTGTGTGTGTGTGTGTGTGTGTGTGTGTGCGTGTGTCCCTGGTGCCTTGTCGCCAGTCGGCAGCTATATTGTGTTTTGCAATTGTTCTTCATGATCGTGTTGTACCTGTGCATGCCAGAAGTAGAATGTAGCATCTGTGGGCTCTCCTCCTTTATCTTTCCGCATCGCCATCACCTCATCCACCATGTTCCCCACCCCACCGTTCCTTCTTCTCCCACACCGCGTCATTCACATCACCTTTCAACGTTTCTCCTCCCCTTACCCTCTGCTGGCACCTTTTCTGCCTGCGCACAGCTTGTGCGTTACCTGATTGACGAGTTCAAGAAGGAGCAGGGCGTGGACCTGGGCCGGGACAACATGGCCCTTCAGCGCCTGCGCGAGGCCGCCGAGAAGGCCAAGATTGAGCTCTCCTCCTCCATGAACACGGACATCAACCTGCCCTACATCACCGTCGACGCGTCCGGCCCCAAGCACATGAACCTCAAGCTCAGCCGCTCCAAGTTCGAGACCATCGTCGGTGCGTACACACCTGTGAGCCTGCCCATGTGTGTGTGTGTGTGTGTGTGTGTGCACGCGCACATGCATTTTTGCTGGCGAAGAATGCTGCGCATCTTGGCCGTCCATGAAATCAGTATTGTATTTGGTCATGAATCCTCACAAAAACATATCTTCCTCTGCTCCCCTCTGTCTCTCCCTCCCCCCCCCCCTCTCTCTCTCATGGGAACGTTTTTGTTTGCTCAGGCGACCTGGTGCAGCGGACGGTTTCCCCCTGCGAGAAGTGCATGAAGGACGCCAACCTCTCCCCCAGCGGCATCAGCGACGTGCTCCTTGTCGGCGGCATGACCCGCATGCCCAAGGTGCAGGAGGTGGTGACCAAGGTGTTTGGCAAGCCCCCATCCAAGGGCGTCAACCCGGACGAGGCCGTGGCCATGGGCGCCGCCATCCAGGGCGGTGTGCTTGCCGGAGAGGTCAGCGACGTGCTGCTCCTCGACGTGACCCCGCTCTCCCTCGGCATTGAGACGCTCGGCGGCGTCATGACCCGCCTCATTGAGCGCAACACGACCATCCCCACCAAGCGCAGCCAGGTGTTCTCCACCGCCGCAGACGGCCAGACGCAGGTTGAGATTAAGGTGTTCCAGGGCGAGCGCGAGATGGCCCTGGACAACCAGCTGCTCGGCCAGTTCAGTCTCGTCGGCATCCCTCCCGCCCCACGCGGCACCCCACAGGTCAGCACACCAGCGCCAACGGAATAGGGAATGTGTGCGTATACTTTTGTTGTGTGCGTTGTGTGTTGCGTTGTGCGCGTGTGTGTGGTGCGCGTGTGTCAGTGGTTGTTGCACATCTGTGTCAGTGGTGGTTACAGGCCTGTGTTGGCGCGCTGTGTGTCGTTGACTGGTTGTGGCCATTACCCGGTTGCTGTCATCAAACTGCCCTCCTTTCCACTCACACCTTGTTTCCACGCCATCCACCCGCGTGCGCTGTGCAGATTGAGGTGACGTTTGACATTGACGCAAACGGCATTGTGAACGTGTCTGCCAAGGACAAGGGCACGGGCAAGGAGCAGCAGATTGTCATCCAGTCCTCTGGCGGTCTCTCCAAGGACCAGATTGAGGACATGGTTAAGCAGGCCGAGGCGGTGAGTCCTTGCACGCGTGGCGTGTGTGGCGTGTGCGAACGTACGCTTTGTTGATCACCAGGTGCTTTTTGGCTTCTCTCCCCGTGTGTCTCTGTATGTGTGTGTGTGTGTGTGTCTCTCTCTCTCTCTCTCTTGTCTGTCTGTCTTGTTTCTTAAGCACCTCCCCTTTCTTCCCTGCTCCATCCCCCACTCGCTTGTCTCCGTCTTTGCTTCGCCAAATTATTCCTCACCTGGTGCACGTGCATTCTTTGCCCTTGCCTGCACTGCAGCACGCTGAGGAGGACAAGCTGCGCAAGGAGCGCATTGAGGCCGTGAACAACGCTGAGTCGATTATCCACGACACGGAGAAGAACCTGGACGAGTTTAAGGACGACATTGAGGCCGACGCCGCCGACTCTGTGCGGGGCAAGATCACGGAGCTGCGGGACATGCTGAGCAACGCGGCGAGCAACACGGAGCTGACAGCAGAGGAGATTCGTACCAAGGCCGGCGAGGTGCAGCAGGAGTCGCTCAAGGCCTTTGAGGTCGCATACAAGAAGGTCTGTCCCAACAAAGTGCTGGTGCTGCTGCTGATGTTGCTGGTGTCTCGTCAAGGGAGATGGGGTGCAAGGGGAAGGGTGGGTGATGATGCGTTGGGGAGACTCAAAAAAACGGGGAGGGGGATTGTGTGTCTGTGTATCTGTGTGTGATGTGTGTTCGTGTTTGTGTGTCTGTCTGTGCGTGATGTGTGTTGTCAATTGAGTTGCCCCGTGAAGCCTTTGCGTTGCGTTGCGTTGCGGCCTGCTGAGTCCTCACTGCCACTGCCTCCCCTCCCTTCCCACAGCGCGCCGCGAGCAACGAGGGCGGCAGCAGCGGCAACAGCGGCGCCAAGGATGCCGACTTTGAGGACGTCAAGAAGTAGGCTCACCCCCCCCCCCTGGTTCCAACCTCAACTCCAAACTCCAAAATCCAATCCAATCCAACTCCAATCAACCATCTGTCCATCTTTGGTGCAGAGTGATGTGTGTATCGTGCCTCGTGTGTCGCACCAAAGGCACGCTTCTGCTGTTGTGCTATATTGCCCGAGTGTTTCGTGTGTTCGTGTGTGCACGTTATGTGTAAATCTCTCTCTCTCTCTCCAACCCCAACAACACCAAAAACAAGTCGAGTCTGTTCGTTTCACAATGCAGCAGCTTGCACTGGTTCTCCCCTTTCCCACCACCACAACATGGTTTTTCTTCTTCCAATCTTCCACCTTTGGTGTTTGTATCCAAATGAACCGACACTAATGACATGAGACGAGCAGACGGCACACCTCAATCACTGCTCTACTAGGCTGCACAACAACAACAACAACATCAACACATGGGCACTACACACGTGTGGAATTGAATGGCACGGGACACGCAAGGCTGGCTGTTTGATTGATTAGCGTGTGTGTCGTGGCAACAGCGTGGAAGACAAGTGACACCGCACACACACACACACACACATGTATGTGATGCCACTCGACACACGACCGTGTTACACACCACCAATGCCGTGTCACACTGTGAGCTGTTGCATGTGTTCCCGCAGCGCGTGCACGGGCTGGTGCGAGTCCATCGTGTCGGTTGTCTTCATCGTGGTGGCGGCAGGAGGTGAGTGGCTGTTACTGTCTTCTTCACCATGTAGGTATCGAACGTACGCTGTGAGCGACAACGATGACACTTGCTTCTGCTGATGTAGTTGTGGTATGGACACACGCACGCCTCGCTGGCGGCCCCGCGGTGTTGTGCGCGATGTAAGGCCATGGAACTGGCACACGCCATGCAGAATCATGCGTTGGTACGCATCAGCACCCAAGATGAAGGCTGTGTCGCCACCACGCTCGGCATACAGGGACACGTGTTGTGGCAGCGGCACGCACGCGGGCTGCCGCACCACCGCAAGCACAAACTCCTCCAGCTCAGCAACAGCAGCCTGGAATGGTGCGCACGTGTGCGTGGTTGTTTGTGTTTGTTTGAGTTTGTGTTTGTTTTGAGTCTGTGTTTGTTCGTTTGTTGTTGGCAGACAGCCAAACAGGGCCAAACGAAGCGGAAAAATGTCGCACACAACACAACCACGCACAGCACAAGATACCACAACCAAGCACAGGGCCACACAACAGCGGTCAGCACAACGCAGCCTCACTGATGGCTGCCTGTTGTTCTTGATGGCGAGGCGGATGCGTCGGTCGACTTTCAGATATCGCTGCTCGTTGTGGCGGTGCACGGCCGGCACACACGACCTGGCAGTGATAGATGGATGGATGGATGAAGTGTAGAGATCAGCGAGTGAGCGAGTGAGTGAGTGAGCGAGTGAGTGAGTGAGTGAGTGAGTGAGTGAGTGAGTGAGTGAGTGAGTGAGTGAGTGAGTGAGTGAGTGAGTGAGTGAGTGAGTGAGTGAGTGAGTGAGTGAGCGTGAATGCGCGTTGAATGGGAGTTGTGTGGTGGGGTTCAGACAGGCACAGACGCAGTCATGTATCTTCAACACAACAGCAACACCAACAACGACAGCATCTGCAGCAGGATGTGGAGCAAGTTTGCCTGCATGCACCCATCACTGTTGTGACTCACTTGTTGGTGCGACGCCGGCTGCGTGGGTTCGTGAGCACTTTGCTCTGTGTCTGGCTCGGCAGTGAATTGAATGCGTCCCATTGCTAGCGTAAAAATGGTGGCGGAAGGGGTGAGGTTGTGAGAGTGACGCACATCCGTCAGATGGTCATGATGGTCATGATCGTCATGATGGTCATGATAGTCATGGTGCACGGCGACACAGGCACAGACACAGTCACACACACCCCACAGACACGCAGAAACACACACATACACATACACACAAACCTTGAGGTCTTCCGATGAGCCGAGCAGCTGCGTGAAGGCGGTTGGCTTGTGCTCGGGCCTTGGTCCCGTCATAAACGCATATGGATCGACCTCCTCACCAAACTCGTCCCCGTCATCGTTGCCAACGTCACCACCACCCCGACCACGCTGCTGTGCACGGCTCTGCTGTGCTGCCAGTCGGCGTGCAATCCGATGAAGGTTGCGGTCTGTAAGAAGCGGGAGGGGGGACAGCGGTGGCAAGGCGACCATGGATTGTGGCGGTGCACACGATAATGGCGTGTGAAGTGTGTGGGCCCAGAGTTGGATGGTAGCATCAAGAATGCCCCCCCCCCGTTCATGTTACACACGCATAACAAGACGGGCCAGGAAGCTCGGGTTGCGAGAGCAGCCACAGCAACCACAGCACCCACCACAGCATCCACGACCAGCAATGACAGCATCCACCACAACAACCACAGCAATCACAGCAACCATCAGCACCACCACCAGCACCACAGCAACCACGGCAACCCTGAGCATCATGGGTACCGTTGCGGTCGCGCTGGCCACGACGACGGCCAGGGGTATGGCGGGCGGATGCAGGGGATGGGACACGGAAACGACCAAACCGCGAGCCAACACGCGGTGCTGTATCGCTGCTGCCACCATCTCCACGTGCACGGTGGCGATACCGGGACCGGCTGTGAGGCTGGCGAGCACCACCGTTCACGGATGCGTCGGCCGCTTGCACCCCTCGCTGCTGTGCTTGCTGCAGCTGCTGGTTGTTGGGCTGCTCGCTACCCTCATCGGCAAGGGCCACACTGCCAGGAAGGTGACGGAGGGGGGGGGGGAGGGGAAGGAAGCTGGTTGTGTTACAATGCGATTGACGGTTGCGAGATGGCACCAAGGGGGTTCAACTGTTCGGTGTGACAATTTGACTGTGCGACAAGAGATGCGCCGCCCACACGTCACAAACGAAGCGCACAAGCGCAGCTGGGCCATTTCATGCAATGCATTCGGGCTCACTTGAGCAAAGCGATGGTGAGCTGCTCTTCTGCATCCACTTGGGTCTCGTAGAACTCACGGTCGTGCACCACCATGGTGAGTGTTTGGACAGTCCAAAAGTAAACGATGCGTGCGTGCAAGGAAGTCGCTCGTGTGACAAGCGGGTGGTTGTCGTTGCTGCTGCTGCTGTCGTTGGGGTCGTTGGGGGCCGGTTGGACCGTAACTTGACAGCTGTGACAGTTGGTGAGGCACAAGGGTGTGGAAATGGCAAAGAAGCAGTCACAGAAGAAGGGCGCGCGTCGAGTGAGTATGTTCGTGAGCGGCGCTGGTGTGACCCAGGGAAGTGCGGGGGGGGGCGGGTTCTGTGTTGTGTAACTGGCTCTGTTCACGCGCAACACCCACAACAGCAGCCAGAACAAGGAGCGCCTGTGTCCGTGTATCTTGAGTCTGAGTGCGGAAAGGCTTGCACAACGACAAACAACGCCAACCACAGCAGATATTGACAACCCATCCATACACATACAGATAAGCACACACAGCCAGCAACGGTGACATTTGCGCGCTGGCGCGCCAACACCAAGCAAGCCAGCCCTCCTTCCACCCTTGTCCTCCCCTCCCCCGCCTCCCACAGCTCACCGCAACGGTCGTTGTGCAAACTGTTTTCCCTTTGCCGCCCGCGCGTCGCGGTATTGCGCCCCCGTCGTAACCATTCAACGAATTCTGGCCATCACACCATCAACTTTCTACAATCACCTCCAAATCGCGCAGCAGCACAACAAACAACAACCAACCCACCCGCCTTGCTCTTGCTTTGTTTTCGCTGCCAGTGTGCTTGTGGAGTGTGTGTGAGCTTGTGTGTGTGTGTGTGTGTGTGTGTGTGTGTGCACGTGAAGAGTGTCCTTCTTTCGACTCTTCT